GTGAGCATCCTTATGAGTTTTTGTTTGAACTCTTTGTGAGGTAGATTGCTTATTTCTGTTTCATTTAGTTCTTTTTCTGGGTTTTTGTCCTATTCCCTTGCTTGGAATATATTCCTTTGCCTCCTCATTATGCCTCTTTCTCTGTGCTTATATCTACATATTATGTGAGTCAGCTATGTCTCCTGATCTTGGAAAAGTGGTCTTATGTAAGAGATGCTTTTTGAGTCCCAGCAGTGTGCTTCCCTCTCGTCACCAGTCCAGATGATCCAAAAGTGACCCCTTTGTGGGCTACTTGTGTCCTTCTGTTGTGGCGGGGTTTGTCTTACTGCAGGTATCCAGGGAGTCTAGTATTTCCTTCCCTGGCAGGCTCTTTGTAAATTGGGTTCAGGGAGCCCCGGCACCATTGGCTACAAGGTCTAACAGCACGCTTCTGTTGCAGTTTTCCTGATAATTGGGTAGATATCCAGTGTAACTGGTTGTTAGGCTCAGGAGCTTACAGTTGCTATAGGCCTCAGGCCTGCAGTACTGTTGTCAGCTCTCTTAGGATTGCAGCTGAGTGGGGCTGGCCCTAAGCATGGGAACACCCAGTTGTTTCAGACTTTGGAAGGTGGGGCTAATCCTCTTTGTGGCTGTTTGTGAAGCACAGGTCTTCTGCCACTGATAAGCCTCACCCCCCACAGGTCCACATATACTGTCAACATAGCCGTGGTCTATGCATATTCCTGACCCCCTGGAGTGTGCCCAGTTGCCCCACTGCAGAGCTCCCACCTCTCCACCAACACCCCTCACAGTTCACCTGGTCTTCACACAGGCCCTGCCCCACAGAGGCAGACACACTCGCCTGCCTGTAGAGGATCAAGGCGCCCACTCTAGGCAGGCTGACGAGTGGCCTGAGGGCTTGCTGTTGTGTGGGGTCTGTCCCTAGGGTGAGCTGCCTGCCCTGGCTGAACTGGATTAAATCTGTGCTCTAGTGGGTGTGGCAGATCCCTGGGCTCTCAGGCCAGGGGAAGAACTTCAGTGGCGTCTGCCAGCATTGGTGTCAGCATGCCTGTACTAGGTCACAATAATGGCCGCCACCAATGTCTCAATCTCTGGAAAAGTCTCACCCTGCACCGAGATGAACCCAGAGCCTACGAGGTGAGTCTCTTTTCACCAAAGGACTGTGCAGCTTTCTTTTTGGAAATTTTAGGTTACTCTTTGACAGAGGTCAATTTGTGGGTTGGCCCTTTAAGAACTGAGTTTTTTCAGCTTTCATCAGATAGCTTTTGTGGGGGACTTCCCATGTGGCAGTTAATAGCCAGTGAAGCCAAATAGCAGGGCACCTTGTCTCAGTTGTGCTGAGTCTGAAGGATGCTTACAGCAGTAATGGGCCTCTGCTAAAATCCCCACTTCTCCAGGGCGGGCTGCGTACCTTAGGGTGGCTCCCACCCAGCTGGCTGTGAAGGTCCACGGCTCGTGAAGGTGGCTTTTTTCACTCCAGAAGAAATTTCTGCCTCTTCTGCCTCAGGACTGTCCCTTGTTGTGGGGGTTCTTTTTATCAAGTTTTCAGTTTTCTCTCCAGAGTACTGTTTCCAAGAATAGTTGTAACCTGGTTATGTTTGTGGGAGGGGGTGAATTCAGAGTCCGCCTACACTGCCATCTTGACCAGATCTCCACAGGCTCTTTTAGGAAGATCTTTTTATCATCCCCTTCACTCAGTTTCTTTCAAGACTCCATGCTTTGCTCTACTGTTATTTTGGGATGAATTAAACGAGTAGGATATGTGAAAACACTACATAGTTCCTGGCATGAAGTAGGCATCCATAAATTTAGTTGAATCTGAATCTAGCACTAAATATTTTCTTTTTTTTCTTCCTTCCTTTTTTCCTTCCTTCCTTCTTCAAGGCTGCCAGTCTATTGAATTTTTGTTTTTATATCATTTTACAGTTGTTTCCTATTTATTTTATCTTTGATTTTTATCCCCAAATAGATTGCTTGTAAGCTTGAGAGGAGAGGTCCTACCTTCTAGGTTCCTTTAATTGCTCCTCAGCACTTGGGACAACTCTCGGCCTCTGGTAGGCGTTCACTCAGAGTTTACAGGTGGACTGATGAATAATGAACTAACTAGAATTAGCCCTGGAAGAGCCAGCAGTTCTTCTAGTCAGATATTTGGATTTTATTTCCTTCTGTGATTAAGACCGAAGTAATGCTGGAAATGAAGCAGGAAGACATAGATTAGAAATATTTTATAGGAAGAAATAGAACAGGTCCAGTAGAGGGTCACAGGTAAACACACACTCTAGGATTTTGCACTGGGATTCCGATAATGAATAATAGCTTTTTAGAAGGAAAGTTTTTTGAAAATGACCTTCTGTTTCTGACTTTAAATAATGAAGAGACTTTATTATCTGACAGTTTGACTAAGGGTGAGTTGGAACTATGCTGTAATTTTTATATTATAATAGAAGAAGCAGAATTTACCTGCAGGGTTATATTTTGTTACCAAAAGAAAGAAATTCCTTTTTCCCTTGTGGGCAGTCAGGCAAGTGGGTTTTTTAAGCTTTCTATCATGAGAGGTCTTGGTAGTTAAAAAGCAGGTGTTTATATAATATATAATACATACCTGATATAATATAATTGTAATTTTCCTCCCTAGAGTTTCTGTCTTGTCTTCAGTGTTTCTCTGTGACTTGTTTACAGTTACTTTGTACTGAGTCATTAATGTGTAATCTTCTATGTGCTCATGGTTCACTGGCAGGGTAGTAAGATGACAAGCAAAGTATATCTTTAAATTATACCTCATTGTGGAATGGAGACATTTATTTAGAACATTGTTAGTTAGAAAAAATTCAGTAGTAAATGGAATTGGAATATTATGTAGTAAAAGCTGGAAAAAAGTGAGCTGAAACTATAGTATTTGTAGCGAAAGAAAATAGATGGCTGTGGGTTGATAGATGGAGAGGGTTTAGCTAATCTTGATTTAAAGTCAGCAGGAAGTTGGTGATTATTGAATGATTCACTGATTGACTTTTTTCCCCCTAAACATATTGTAAAAGGAACCTGAAAGAGGAATGACCGGTAGAGATGACTCCAGTACAGAGTGAAGTTGGTTAGAGTGAGTTCAGGGCATGGGGTTTTCAGTGGGTAGTCTGGAAAGGGATTTATCCTCAACAATGGGGATAATGTGAACTTGTCATAAAATTCACAAAACCGTCTCTTTAAATTTGTAGTAGGAACTTTTGTGGCATGTTAATTGAGGTGCTTCAGGCAACAGTGGAGTCTTTTGGTTTTATTTGATCTCATACTATTGCAGCTGTGTAGCTTCCATTAATAAAAGTTGCATTGTGGTTAGGACTAAATGGAGCCTTAAAGGAAAATTGTCTTCTAGGTTTTTGAAGTCAGTAAAATGTTTTAATTATTATACTAACATCAGGAAGTTTCTTGCTAAGAAGCTCAAAGTTCTTTTAAATACATTAATTTGATTGTATCAATATCTGTTAAAACTAATACATTTAAAGATTCAGTCGAAGTTTGAGATGAGGGTAATCTGAAAGGTTTTTTGTTAACTTTGGCTATATCTGTGCTTCCTGCTGGAACCAGGAGTAGATTTATAATAATAATGTGAGTTCCTGGAAGCCAATCTGATCTGTGGGTTCAGAAACCTGATGAGCCAAAAGGTAATGGCATATGGTGATGGCTTTGATTATTGAAGGGGCCCTTACGATATCATTTTTCATGTCTTTTGATAGGAAACTTCCACATTCATTGGAAAGCCTGGACCTGCTTGACATATATGCATGCATACATACATATATGTTAAATTGTCTTGTAACCTTTGTTTTTTTAACTTAATAACATATTGTGAACATCTTCCATGTCATTAAGCATTATTCTACCATAGCATTTCCTAGATATCTTCTTTGGAATACAAATACCCCATGAAATGTAGGTGTTCTGTGGATAGATAAATTTGAGAGAGTTTAACTCTCTCTCCTTATTAGAGCACCTTAAAGCACATCAGCCTAGGAAGAATTGCAGCAAAGACACCTATTTAACATAGTTTATACTCACTTTTTATAGACTTATTTGACCATGAAATCCTTTTTTCACCCAATGCCTATTAATATCTCATGGGATTTCTATTCTGCAGAACATACTTTAGAAAATGCTCTTCAAAATTATGTTAATGGCTGCATAATATTTCATTATATGAATATACTATAATTTTAAATCTATTCTAAATAGTGCTGTGATGAATATCTTTGCAAATAGTTTTATATATATTCATGATTCTTTTTTCTAAAAAGTAAAATTATGAGATCAAAAAGTCTATTCCAATATATTTGTAAGTTCATTTGTATCACCAAAAAGTCTGATGTGATTCATCTGTTTTGATATCTTACTCATTTTTTTTTGATATTTGTGGAATCTTGTGACAACCGGTGACTGTGTTTCTGATTAGCTGAAGTTATGTTTCTGTACACATCTGTAACTGACCTAACAATATTAAATTTATATATCTTTGTGTGTTTTGTTCAAGTACTGAATATAAAATATATCAAGAACATCTAAATATTTTTCTTACAACTATTTGTCACTTATTGCTAAGCAGATATTTAATTAGGAAAGATTTTCTTCAACTCTAGATGGCTTCATGAATAACCTTGAATGATTTGAAAAAACATTTATGTAATAAAATCTTTAATTGAATAAACTAATCAAAATTTATTGGATACATTACTCTTCTCTTTAAATGTTCATTGTATATAGTTTTAAAAGTTTATATATAATTTTATTTGTAATTAGCGTAGAGGTGACTAGAGCTGATGTGAACTGCATGTAACTATGGAGAAATATGCAACTCATGTTTCATTTCACTTCATTAATGCAGAAAGTTATAGTGTAGTAAGCTTTTAAGTTATGTGTTGACTATTCTCCAAGCAGTATAATCTAGATGTACTTTCAATTTCACTTTTTTCTTCATTCTGTTTTACCTATTATTTCCACTTTAATTCTTGCAGTGGGGTCAGATGAACTGGATAGCTACATGTATCAGACAGTGGGTCATCATGCCATTGATTTGTATGCAGAAGCGATGGCTCTTCCCCTCTATCGCCGCACCATAAGAGGAAGGAGCGTGGATACAAGTCAAGTATATACCAAATGTGAAGGTGACGAGGTTGAAGATCTCTATGAGCTTTTGAAACTTGTTAAGGTACTCAGTGACCAATTACATTTACTAAATTTAGTGTGTAATTTAGTAAATTACATTTACTGAATTTTTTAGTAATAAATAATTTACAACTGCCCAACTAGTCTTTGAAAGGATATTTTGTCCTTTTGGATAGGAAAGAAAACTCTTACTATACCTTTGTATTAAATGGTATTTAAGAGTATAACTTTTGGTATAATTTGGCACCCTGGATTGTGAAATAATATTTAATTGTTTTCTTTTCCTTAGGATTTTGGAGCTGATGAGCTTTTCTATCATTTTTTTTAGCAAATACTTTTTGAATGCCTACTATGTGCTTGGTATACAGTTCTAGGCTCTGGGGATAGGACAATGAACAAATTAGTCTTATTCTGTTGGAACTTACTTTCCAGGTGAAGGAAGCAGACAATAAACAAACAAATAAATAATATGCTTGGTGGTGAAGAATGCTATGAAGAAGAATGAAGCAGAGTTAGGCTGATAATGAGTGATGACAGGGGGTGGTCAAGGAAGACCTTTCTGATACGGTGAAATTTAAATAGACCTAAAGAAAGTGAGAAACTGAGCCTTGCTTAAATTTAGTAGAAGAGGTATGAATTAAATACTTAAGTCTCTGCATATAAGAGTTTGGCAGCCATGTGCTCTCATTGTTAATTTCTCTAGACAGAAAATTTAGGAGAGAAAGTGTGGGTCTCATATATCTAGTAGGTACTATACTCAATAAATGTTAATTAATGGAGATTATTTTATAGTAAGCAATTATCTTTTCTTTCTCATTGATAGCCAACTATTTGAAGAGAATTCAGTATTCTCCTTAAGTATGAATTTTATCCAGTCAGTTACAGTCAGTTCATATAAGGCATATCTAATGAAATAGAGAATTTAAGCCAGTATTTCTTGGATGTCTTAACATTTTTTCACCAAGGAAAGGAAGGAAGATTTCTGGCCGTTCTTTTACCAAGGGAAATTACATTTCATTTTCTTGTTCTTCAGAGAAGTTCAGCTTTTCAGGAGTTATGTCATGAACGCGTTTCATGAAAATTTGCTAGTCCCAAATAGCTATACTTAATTGCTATACTTTAAATTTGATGCTGATCAAAGCTTAATATCAGTTAAGAATTTTGCTTAACAAATATATGAAGCACTTAGATCCTTTTAAAGTTTGCTTCATTAAAATATTTATTATTTTGTATGTCAGAACATTTTCATTTTTGTTTACCCTTTAAAAGGAAGCTGATGGGGAAGCACTTAAAATAGTTGCATAATTTACTGTTTGGTTTGGATAGCATAAGAAGTAGATACTTTTCAAAGGAAATCACAAGGACCTGGTTTCTTCCCTCTGGGAAGACACATACTAATAACAACTATTTTGATTATCAAACAAGGGAGAAGGCATAAAAGAGTTCCATTTTTAATGGTCATCTTTCCGTACAACTAACGCAGCTGAGATCTTGATCGTGTTCACTTTGAGGTGTGAAATACTGAATGAAAATTCTGCATGTTCAAAATTTATTTTTCTGGATGCAGAGAAACTGGGTATTAAGTTTTTAGCATAAACCAATATGACAAAATGGTGGGACTCACACTAGAAGTAATTGGATTGCTTAAAAATCACTGATAACTGATAACTTGGGAGAATATGTGATAATAACAGCCTTCCAAGAAAGGGAAAGATAATAAATTACTAATCGATTTAATTAAAAATGGGCAGATTAGTAGTAATTAAGAAGAAATTTCCCTTTCGATCCATGCTGTCTGTGGAGAAATGGATGCTTTGCCATTATCTTTATAGTAACCGTCAGTTATGACATAAATTAATGCTAATGTTAAATCTTGACAACTTCTGCTTTGGAAGTTCGTACATGATAATTATAACTATAGTTGAAAGAGATGTTATCAAGTTGTCTGGGGCTAAATAGTTCCTTCTTTTCCTGTGGAGAAATATTAATTTTACTATAGGATATTTTAAGGACATAAATATCGGAAATGTATTGCTTTTATGGAAGAGATTGTATAACCAGGCTTTTATAGTTAAATCCACTTATGAAACACTGGTATAAAGATTCTGATAGAGGTCCTACATATTCTAATGAATAATTGAGTAATTGTGGAAAAAGACGAATCTGGAAGACCTATCATTCTTCAAGTTAGTCTTTACTTGTTCTAAGAAAAAGATGGAACTGTATTTTTTAATCCTTTGAATATTAATGGAGCATTGAAAGCATTTAGATACATTTTCATTTTCAACATTTATTTATAACATGTTGCAGTTTTGTGACTTTCACACATAAGTCAGTCTTCTGTTTTTGTAGTTCTTCCCCTGTCCCCAAGTATTAGAGCTAATTTTTGAGTAGGAAATATTCCTTTTTGCGGAGTGTTTAATTAACTAATTGCTGAAAAAAAGCAGGAAAGACTTAGAAGAATTTACAGAGTTAAAAGTTTCCTATTTTGTAGAAGTCATGAAAACTAAGAGAAATGTAATAAACCTTTATATCTCATAGATTACTAGGTGATTTTGACATATATATGTAGTCTCAAGCTGTTTGCAAAATGCCTAGTTTTCATATAGATAGTCTTTCTTTTATTCTTTAGAATTTCTTTAATGTTGTAATGTCACTTCAGTTCTCATCTGGGTTAGTTTGGTCTATAAATGACCTGTATTATTTCCTGAAAACATAGTAATTTTCAAATTCCGCATGTGTTTTCTTTTTAAGTCACATAAGCAATGTCATAGTTACTGAAGGATACATATAAACACCATATCTCTATAGAGAATATATTTAAGGATCAACATATTCTTTCTTTCACCAATGGTTTGGAGCCACTTCTTACTGGATCTGATACCCTCCTCTTTCTTGGGTTTATTCCCTCATTTCAGTGGAGTCCGTCTTTAATAAACTTCATTTGGGAAGGTAATTTCAAATCCTTATATTTTGAAAATGTTCCCATTCTGCCCTCACATTTGATTGATACAGTGGTTAAATTTAAAATTTTAGGTTGAAAGTCATTTTTCCTCAAATCATTGAAGGCATTGCTCCGTGGTCCTGTAGCATTTTGCTAATGAGCATTTTGATGCTGATGTGATTTTTGTTCCTTTTTAGCTGACTTGTTTTTCCTCTCTGTTAACTTTTATGATATGTCTTTATGCTTGGTGTACTGAAATGTCACAACAATGTATTGGATATTGAAAGCCGCTTTCCCTACATTCCTTCTGCAACTTCTTATTGAGTAGCAGCTTATCCCTGTCCTCTTTCCACTAATATGGTTCGGGAATGGCCTTAAACTAGGTGAAAGCCAGTCATAACATGGCATTCTCTTGGCTCTCGTGATTGGATCAGGGAGGTTTTTGTTAACCTACGTTGTACAAATGAAGCCTAGGATGATGGATGGTTAGCAGAAGATAAACTTTTTCTCCTGTACAGAGGGATGTGTGGATGTGAGACCTAGAACTGCTATGGCCTTTTTTGTTTGAGGGAAGAAAACCTCATGTCAGATCTGACACACACAAAATGGCAGAGCGAGTAGATTTGCAGTGTGAGGATGGCTGTGTGCAATCCTCTTCCATTAGTGCTTGATAATTTGTTCTGTCCCCTTTTTCTGATACTCTCGTTGATCAGATGTTAGACCTCCTAGATTGAGTCTTCGTGTCTCTTGTCTTTTCTCATGTTTTCCATCTCTGTGTCTTTTTGTTGTGCATTCTGTGAGATTTCCTTTTTAAATGCACTACTTTCTTGCTGAAACTTTTTTTTATTTTTGCAATCATATTTTCAGTAGCCAAGAACTTACCTGTTTATTGATTGTTACTTTTTGTAATAAGCTGTTTCTCCTTCCATAGATGTAACATCCCTACATCCCTCTTAAAATACAGATTAGAGATTTTAAACATTATTGTTCATTTCCTGACATTAATGTTTTCTTTGCAGTGTTTCTGTCAAGTTTTCTTCTCTTTCATGTTGTAGAATTTTCTCAATGTCTTGCTTGCTTATTCATATCTACGAATAAAGCAAGAGGAAAGCTGATTGAATGCTTTTGACTTTAGAGTTTTTCTAGTCTCACATCTCACACTTGTTATATTTGGAGTTCAGGATAATATGGCCTAGTTTGATGCCTTTCTTGGCTTTCTTCTCTTCTATGCAAACAGTAGGTCATGGCTTCCTCTTTGATTTATCAGTCATCGTTCCTTCTGCTTTCTGACTCAAGAAATTAATTGAAAATTTTTTTCCATTGGTGTCTCCTCACTGTTCTCTTTGTTTGTTGAAAGTTATATCTTTGTTTTCATTTTAATGGAATCTCTTGATCCAGAAATCGGTGTTAATTTCATTCCAATGGCATTCAGTCTTCTTCCCTAAGTTGAATATTGAATTTCAGTTTTCCTCTTCTAATCTCTGATACTTTTCTTCTCTCATATTATTCTTCTCGTTAAGCATTTTATCTTGATGTTGATGACATTAAATTCCTCAGTGGACACTTGTATTGTAATTTGAATACAACAATAGATGAATAATTGTCTTTTTTCTACTTTAAATAGAATATTTACTATTAATAGACTTGTAAATAACTGCTTTTTTTAAACTAGATTTTAATTTAATATTTTTAGAAAACATCAATTGCCACTTTACTCTTTGTCTTGGTTAGAATCCTTTTGATTACAAGGAGCAGAACATCATATTCAAGCTGGTTTAATTAAAAAGAGAATTTGTTCACAACAATCTAAAGATAAGTTTAGCTTCAAGTAGACTAGATATAGGACACAAATTATATAACCAAAGTCATTTTTTCCCCCTATTTGTGTCTCTTGCCTCTTCTTTCCGTTGATTTTATTCTTAGTCTAGACCCTTGTAGTTAAAAGATATCTCCTAAATTACATTCTTCCTGGCTGAAATCTAGTAGGATAAACTCGTCTTCTTAAATAGCTCAAAGGAAAATTCAGTTATGTTTCATTGCCACTCAGTGGCCTGACTTTTATCATTCATGAACCAGTCATTGTTGGGAGAAGCTGATTT